GAACTCCTGAACGTGTCTCCATGAGGCAGTTGCTCATTGTCATGCATCAAGCAGATAATATGCTCTGAGTCATGAAGATGATTCCTTTCCTGAGACAAATCACATGTTAACTTATCAGGGCTTCCACAGATGAGAGTATGATGAACCCAGGAGGACAACATCATCTGCAGACAGCAGAAATGCCATGCTAATGTCACTGCTGATTGTTTAATACAAACACGAGGAAAGGTAAAGAAGGACCACTGCTTTGTTTGAATGACCTTGTTGGCTCTGACACCCCATACCCCCACAGCGTGTTCCACAGAAAACTTTGAAGAATACAACCATGAGCATCTTATAAAACACTGAAACATTTAGACAAAATGAACAAAATCTCCATCCCTGCTGAGATAACCTCCATTTGATCTATTTCCCATGATCCAGCCCGAGTTCACATCGCTCCGCATAAGTCATGGTGAGGTTTAACACTCAGCCAGAATTTCTTTACGAGCACCTTGTCCTTGGTAGTTTTTCTCAGGAAGATTTAGCTTTGTAATTCCTTAATCATTTGAACACATCCTCTAGCCCCTTGGCTGAAACCCGGGGCCTTGTCAGCCAATCCAAAGGGTATTACATTAGGCCTGCACTATCTTTGGATGATACCTCAGTACCTGCCATCAAGGAATCAGTGACACCTGCCAAAAACAGGCTCAGACTCATTTTTATGAGTAATTCTCCTCTGTTACATCTAATTTCACTCCTCCCTTTGCTGTCCCTTTCTTTCTTTACTCCTCTGTTCCTTTATTCCCCGCTTCCCTTTTTGTAGTCACCATCCCTCTTCTCGTCTCCTGTCTTCTCTTTGAAATGCCTCTCTTGTCCTGTTATTACATTTACATTTTAAATTATGTTTACTGGCTGTATGTGTGTGTGCGTGTGTGCGTGTGTGCGTGCGTGTTTCTGTGTGAGTGTGAGTGTGTGGGTGTGTTATGAGATTAAAAGTACCAGTGTACCAGGGTTTTGCACTAAGCACTTGGAATAAACAGCTATCTGTCGTGAATAATGTGCTTTCCAACTTTTTTTGACTCGCATCCAATCAGTTCTTTTTACAGTGTCTTTTTGTCATCTTGCAGATGCTTGCTTCCACAGGGACCTGCAATAACTGCACCAGTAGAATAAACTAAAATAATGTATTGCCAGCAATTCGAGCAGCCAATAGGGGGGACAGAGGCCAAGACTACGGTGCCCAGACAGTAGAAAGTTATGTCTGTGTTGTGATGTTAATGGATCACCAAAGAGCGCGTGGTCTAATAATAGAGAAGTGCTAAAGTAAGCACAGAAATAAGTCTCTCCTGCTCTTTGTTCCTCCTGTTTTTCTTTTATTATCTACTCCTCATGGGTTTGTTTATCAGCTCCTCTCTTTTTCTCTCATATCCTCTTCTCTATGCTTTTTTAGTCCTCCATCCTTTACTTTCTGTCACCCGTACTCTATATTACTCTTTTATCTTCATCCATTCTTTTCTCATTTGCGACTACCCGACTTCTCCACCCCCTCTTCTCCTTTCTCCCATCGCTCCTATCTTTCCAGCTTCACTCACTCTCTCGTGTATCTCCATCCACTGCAATCTGGAATTTGTAATGTCTAACCTCATTTACCCTTGACCTCTTTTTATCACCTTTTCTCACTCCCGACCTCTCCTCATGGCTAGTGTGGTTACACTGCCTCCCCACCCATTGATTTAAGCAGATTTTTCGTCCTTGCCTCCTTTCCTATGTTCTTCACCCATCAGCCTCTGTTTGTGCCCGTTCTCTGTCCCTCATTATCTGTCTCCCCTCTCCTCATCTTCTCTGTCTCCCTCTTACCTCTGTGCTGCAGTCTGTTTCCTTCTCACCAGCTAAACTTCTTTTCAAACCTTTATCACCCTCTCCTCTTTTTTGTTTTCTCCTTCTCCCTTCCCCTGCTTCCTTAAAGTTCAGTCTCATCCCTCTGTCCTCCTCCTCTGACCCCTTGTCTTGCTCTCATTCCGATGTCAGGCAGCTGGCCATTCACTATGAATAATGGAGGAGGTGCAGCATATCTCACAGTTTGTTTTTTATCCATCTCTCTCTACACTTTCCATATTTCCTGACCTTTTAGCTCTCTTATGCACATGACATTATTTATCTGATTTAGTTCAACATCCATACATGCAAATATGCATACTTGTATAGTTATGCAATGTAGATTGAATTAATTATATATGCTCTA